CTCAGATCCCTCTGCCCCCCCCCCCCCTCTGGCCTGTGCCCCGGGAGAAGGCAGTAATACTTGTATCGCAGACTAGCTCTCAAAGCTCCTAATATGGTTATCTATCCGTTCACAGCCACCGACAAATGATTTCACGCCGGAGATGGCTTCATTTCCCCACGGACCTGTCCCTCCGCTGACTGATTCCATGACTCCGCTTACATTAACAAACACACAACGTAAGAAGGCCCATTTATATTCACTCTCTCAAACAGGCCCTCTGCTCGCCTCTGCTTTTTTCTGCACTTCCCATGCCCTATAAACTTTTTTTTTTTTTTACCTCAGTTTTTTCATGACACAAAACTCATCCCCCCTAGAGCTGAATATTGGAACGGGGGCCATGGGCAGCGGAGAGTGGACGGTCCATAGTGGCTGCTGGTGAGCTGGTAAAGCCACCATCTGGCCTGCTTTGGTCCAGCGGCGTCCAGATCACGGTGGCAAGAGGCCAGCGGGCACCTGAGTGGTGGTGCCACAGCAGGGCTGACCGCTCCTCCAGCTGGCTCCTAAATGTCCAATTTTCCATGGCAGCGCCGGACCCTCGGCAACAGATGCCTGGACCCACAGGGAGTCCACTTCATGGCCTGTCCTATATTTACTGTTAATGACCTCACATATCATTGTGACTGTTCCCGATCAAGCAAAGCAACGGAAAAGAGAAAGAGTGAATTTTTGCTTTGGCAGAAACTTAAAAACCAGCAATATGCATAAAACAACATACATAGCCTTTTGGTGGTTGATATTAATAGTGATATTTTGTTCACCTGATTGCTCTAATTGGTCGGTAAAATCAGTTTCAGTGAAAAGCGATTATAAACATGCAATTACTCAAAAGCATACTGGTGTGAGCTTTTAGAAAAAACTCATCTGTGCTGAATGTAGCAGAAAATTGCCTGGAAAGGTGCAGTTTATAGCATTTATCTCCAGCTGCTGCTGGATAAAGAGTGTTTTCTGTTCATGTGTCACAGCTTGTGCAGGACTGACATAAACACACACACACGTGTAGAGTCTGAGGCAGTAGTGAGGAAAGTTCAATTGAAATCCAGCAGAAATGTATTACAGTCCAGCAATGCCCGTGGCTTTTATTTCCAGACGCAACAGTTGCTGCAAATGAGTGGGAAATATTCAGTTGTTAAGCAAATTGTATAGATTTCCGTTTTGCGAATATAACTTAACTGCAGACTGAAACTACTTCTACCTCTTACTCTGTTTATTAACATTTCCTCTGGGCTTGTGTTTTTTCTTTTTTTCGCTAATGTCTCATGATTAACCAAACGCACAATAAAATGGTGTGTTCCTCTTGAGCTGGGTGGAATTCACTGAACGTTCCAGAAAGCAGACGCCTCTTCGCAGGTTTCACAGTTCATAGTTCAGAAATGCTGCACGTACGTAAGGTGCATGTTTATACATCCCTTTAGTATAGGCTGGAAAAAAGGACCTTGAAATGATAAGCAACCCCCCAGTTCGTGTTGATGTTGACCTTTCAGACTTTTATTGCTGGGTCACAAGGCGGAAGCTAATTTGAATTCAAATGCAGCCATATTGCTTGATCTGATGAGATGAAGATACAACTATTTGGACATAAAAGAGTTCTACAAAGTATGTTAGTAATGAGCAATTTAGCTACAGGGAAACATGCAGATAAATGACACAGACAAAACTCCTAAAGGCAATTTAGGGTCCTCAATACACCTGTTATGCATGTTTTTTGGGGCTGTTGGAAGAATTGCCACACCAATATGCACCTCATCTTCAGGTTAATGGGTCCTCTCATCCCTCCCTTTTATTTCTATCCGATTAAATTAAAATGTTAAGTAATTCATTCATTGTATTTTTTCTGGTAGTTCTTTTCTCAGTAGTTAATGTTCCTTTCCTTTTGTGTAGCACCGACCCAACTTAAAGCTATTAGAGTCAAATTTGATGTTCCTCAGAGGAATAGTAAGGAAGACATCGTTATCACAAACCTCCGCCCTTGGGATTCAGCCATCCGAGGAAGCAGTTTGGAGATTTATCCGAGCCACGTTTTCCTCGTAAAGGTATCAGACACCTGCAGTAGGAAAGTGATGAATCCTGATTCCCATGTGATCAGGAAGGAAAGAGATCTTGTTTCCCGGGGGGGGGCAGGGGGGGGGGGCTACAAACTGGCTGGAACTGGCTACACTGATAAATTTCACAGGGTCTCCAAGAGTCAGGGAGCTGTCAGCGCAGAGTGATGGGCCGTGCCGGGACATGATGCGCTGATCTAATTGGGGGATAGCTCAGACAGCGGAGGGGATTCCTGCCGATCTGTCGCTACAGCCCGTCCCCTCTGGGGAATTTTACTGGTTTATATTTAGCTGGAGGTGAAACAATTATGCTTCCTTCTTCCCTCCTTTTCCCTAAGGCAGTGTCTGTCTCCTACCAAATCAGAGAAGCAGGTAAATGAGGCAATTTTTGGAAAAATGTAAAATGTAAATTAAGGTATTTTTGTCTTAGGGAGTCTACACATGGCAGAAAAGAACAGAATAAAAATCATTTCTGAAAAGCTCAATTCCAAAGCCAGATGTAGTTGTTCATGAATAGTACTTACACAAATCTATCTACTGTAACAAGGAAGCTGTCAATACAACATTAACAACACAAGTATGCCCTCACAAAAGGTTCTGAATCCCTGGTTTCCATGTCTTCTCTCAATTACAGGCCCGGTCCTCGGAAAAAAAAAAATCAATATCTCATTTCTCAGCCCCATCGTAGATTTGGAAGAGGCCTCAGTCAAACACCCAACACTCCCCGGCAATGAGATTTATTTTCCCCGACAAAACAACAAGCAACAGTAAGACCTCAGGTGTTCATACAGCTGCTTTGTTTTCTCACAGCAGGTATTTTATTCCTAATCTACCCATAACACCATCTGGCAGTGGCTCCTATTAGAAATCATCTTCAGTGAGTGGTGTCGGAGGGTTCAGTGTTGTGAATGTGATTATTCTTCACAGGAGACATGATTATCAATGATGGGCTGTTGACTAAATTATCTCTTGGTCCGAGATTATTCAAAATTTGGGATACTGGGAGTGCTTCCACTCCCATTCCCCCTATGTCTTCATCCATTCATCCATTTTTGTAACCGCTTATTCCCAAATGGGGTCATGATGGGAGTGGGGCCTATCTCAGTGGTCAATGGGAAAGAGGAAGGGTCCTACCCTAGACGGTAGGCCAGTCCATCACAGGGACACACAGAGACACACAAGGACAAACAACGAAGCTCACTCACTCATTTTCACTCCTAAGGACAATTTGGAATATCCAATCAACCTAACATGCAGGTTTTTGGATGGTGTGAGGAAACCAGAGAACCTGGAGAGAACCAAGCAAACACAGGGAGAACACGCAAACTCCACACAGAAAGGTACTGGGTCCTGGGAGTCGAATCCAGAACCCTCGTGAGGCAATGGTGCTAACCACCACACCACCGTGCTGCCTCCTATGTCTTCATGTTGACGATCAAAACAATTGAGCTTTCAGCAATACAAACCATGAAGAATGCAACAGAGATTGTTATGTGCCTCCTGACACAGTAACAATGTGTCCACTGAAAGTGACTGATTAAAGAACGTACAACACTGACAAAGAGATTATTAAAGCAACAAGCATCCCTTCGGTGCTCAGCCATGTTGTATTTTGAGATTGGTGCCCATGATGTTCTCCTGGAAACCACACAGCCGCAAACTTAATAGCTGGGACTCATTCTCGTCTCCGTTCGAGCAAAACGCTTGACAACGGACCAACAGGACAACTCATCAGAGCGAGTAATCTTTTAGGGACTCTGATATGAGACAAATAGTGTTTGATTAAAAAGCCTTAATGAGGCCTGTTTCGTTTTATATGTGGGTCCTCGTTGTCACACTTCGGGATGGTAGTTGTGTTTGCGTCTCGGTGTTGTTCTCTGCATGCCAAGGCCCGCAAGCAGCCCAGCCACTGTTTCCAACTTTATGAGATTCCAGTGGGAGATGCAAAAGTTGGCTGTCTTTAAAATAGCAATCTCTTGAGGAAACTCTCAAACCATCGCTCAAAAGGCGTCCGTGTTCTTAATCAGACCCAGTGTCTTTGTTTTTGTTTCAGACGAGAGAATCAGAAGAGAGAACTTTGCCTAAGGACTGCCTGTGTTTGAGCACCCCACTCTCACCCCATACTTTGATCATCTCTACTATATTTAATAAAACCCAGATCTTGATTATTTTATGTTGCTCACAAGCCCCCTTCACTAAAATAAGGGCAACAAAATGATTCAGTCTGCATCCATTTTTTTCTTTTACTCATCCCCACAGCATGTGGCAGATCTCTATTTCAGCGAACCTTTGCGGAACAGTAGGACCTATCTTATCAGTTCAGCTTCAAATTAACTTTTTCAAACTGCTAATTCTATCTAAACACTGACTTTAAAATACACATTCAGACCCAGAACCCTCTTTCTTCTTACTGTAGTTCTCGCCTGCATATGGACGGTTCCAAACCTCACACCAAAGATCGGTTTAGTCTGCGGAGTTCTTGTTTTTCTTCATTTTTGATCCAATCTATAACTCATTTATACAGAGATATGCTCATAAACAAATAGCGCCTGGGAAGCAAAACACGATACAAATTGAAATGGCTTCCCACCGGCATAAATCAAAAAGGCCCCGAGAAGGACTCTTTGTAATCTGGGCTTGTAGTCGCGAATGCCGGCTGCATACTTGAGTGTCCTTGTGAAAAGACATGTCATCATTTTTCGTGTCGCCCACGTTAATTGGGTCAGTGGCTGCGAGAAGGTTGACCTGTGCTGTTGCTTGGATACTACCACTCATGCATATAGTAAAAAGGGAAACCAGAACTTTTGTCTTTTGGAGTTACTTACTGTATACAAGATAATTGATTGCATTCGGAGGGGCTCGCATGTAATTTAATATAAAAAAAGGAAAGGCACAACAGGTTTTAAGATTTAAAAAATGTTTTATTTCTTGACGACAAAAAGATGCAGACCACACTGTGCAAACACACAAAAACTTGCTCTGCATTCACAGACCCGCAGGAATCAAGAGACGCGTAAACAAAACCAAGATGAACACACTGAATTAAGGACAGACCTCTTAAAGGCCCTTCCAGTCCAAAGAGGTTAAGCTCTTTGGTGAAAATAATATTCTGATCCTTCCACCACTGAGCTTTAATGTTTGAAGAGATAATGGCAGAACCAAGTGAAGCAAAACAATTTTGCTAAATAGACTGACCTCTCTGGAAAATGGCAGGGAGGAAAACAAGTTTCATAGCAAACACCTACACACTTCACAAGCCTCCAAACACACTTACAAACACACAACATGCACTTTTTAGTATAAAGCAACCTTCACAGACAGATGCACGTGTATGCCTCATCAAACACACAAAAAACAACAACATGGAATGTGCCACCGTTCCCAAGAGCTACATATGCTCACGCTTTCTTTGAAAAACAGGAATATTATCTCACAAAGTCCATGCAAATCTATATAAATACAGATCCAAATCAAACACCAGTTGGTTTTGCATAAAATACTCCACTGAAGAATTCAAATAAATTGTTATTACCTTGGCTTAACTTGAATTTAAACTTGAATCCAAGCGTAAAATTAGTTTAAAATGTCTTCAGGGTGTAAAATGTCAAAAAGACATTGTATTTATAGGTGGTGGCACATTCCATAGTCTGTATTTATTTAGTCTTTTTTCAGGTGACCACACCAACGTTCAAGTGTTACTTCACAAGCAAAAAAGTCTTCACTGCCTCTACGTCGGAGGACACAAGTAAATCGTGGCGAATCATATTTTAACACAAAGAACCGAAGCGGCACGTACCATAGTGCCATGGCGTCTGTCATCATGTATGTGTGGGTAGTCAAAGCTCTGGATGATCTGGCATCTTTGGTCACAATCACTTGCCAAGTCCTCTGCTGTAGAAAGGCTGACAAACATAAGTATAAAATGCAAAACAGGAAGAAGCTACTTGATACGTCCACTTCAGAGAAATCCACTCTAAGGGCAAACTGTTTTCTATTTTTCAAAATACCAAAATCATAAAAGCTATTTTAAATAAGGTGCAACACAAGAATATATAGAAAAAGCCACTTTTAAAGCCAGTGCATGGATAGGCGCTGCAGCTTTGAACTGTGTTTGGGTTTTCTTTTCTTCTTTCAACATCGGGATTATGTGCCACGCAACTATTTCGGTGCATCAACCTGCAAAAAAATACTGCCTACAGAACCTTCAAGGTTTATTTAAACACAAAGAAGCCCTGAGCTTTGGAGAAGAAGCCACCGGTGCACTTCAGTCACTCGTTTAAGCCAAAGGCTGAAGCCCGGTTTTCTGACTGTTGGTATTCAGAGGAGGAGCAGCATCCACATCAGCAATCATGAGCTGGCTTGTTGGTTTGCCATTTCATCTCGGCTGATTGCATTTATTATCTCTGAAAATGATATCAAGTGAGGAGACGTGAAAGGTCATCGACGTACATTATGCCGATAATCGTGTCATTTCGACAAGAGATATATACGTTTGAAATAAATTAAGAGCGGCATTACAGAGGAATAAATCAAGAAGACATAACGTGAGGATTAAATGAGGTAAGAAAAAATGGTTGGATATGAAAAAGAGACAGTATGGCAGACATTTATACGGCAGACTGTAACCAGGACATCTTCTATGTTGTTGCAGCAAAAGCTCTGAGACTGTTGGGATATTGGTCTGTCTGTGTATAAATGTGAAATGCCAAGGCACGACTTCAGCTGTAACACGGCTCTGACGCAATAAAATCAGCCTGACTACAAGTCATAGCCATAGGAACGCTTCTCTGATATAGGCACCCGTTAGTTAACCATGACAAAGTGATTTATGAAAATGCAAAATCCCGCCGAGCACCGTGTCAATTAAGAGTTTGGCCTCCACTCCTCCAGATCCACTTGTTATCGCTGCATCAGAAACTGTTGCCGGAGCTTTTACAAAGGTTTTTCCTACAAAAATATATTAATGCGACTGCTTCGTTAATGTCACTTCATCCTTTGCTTGTTATGGTTTTCGTCTGAAATCAAGCCACGATCTGAGATGCTGCTGAGTCATTACTATTCCGTTTCCGGGCACATCCCGTCATGGAGAGAGTCTGTGGACATCAAAAGAGACGGCCGGCTCGTCCTGCGCCTCGCCGTCAATCGTGATGCTGGGATGTGTCTCCTGGGTTTCCATGGAGATGGTGGAGTTGGTGGAGGGCGTGGCTCCGAAGTGAGGCCCGTCCACCGCCAGCAGCATGGGCGTTCCCGACGTTTTCAGGCTGTCGCTCATGGCCGCGTGCAGCTCCTCCGGCGTCACGCCCATCTCCTTGCTGTACTCGGAGGGAGACTTCCTCTTGATCCGCTCGTAGCTCTTGTCTTGGCTTTCGGGAAAGGTCTCGCTCTCCTGAAATCGACCCAACAGCCAGACGAAGAAGCCGAACAGGACGAAAGCGGCCAGGCTCGGGATGAAGGCCAGGCATTTGACGTCCAGGCTGGAGCCCACGTAGCGGCTGTGGAGGAACATGTCCCGCTCCACGTAGGTCCGGTTGGTTCCGGGGTCGATGGTGGTGGAGCGCCACTCGTAGGTGAGCGTGCTGTGGTTGAAGCTGCTCAGCGTTTCGGGCTCCTCCACCGTGTAGATCTTCTCCCCGGGCCCCACGTACTGGCCGTACTCGTAGGGCTTGTAGAAGATCTGGTTCTTCCACATGTTCAGGTCCAGGATCAGCACGAGGAAGATGATGCCGTAGTTAAACCACTTCCCTGCAATGGGATACAAGCTAGGGTTAAGACCTCTTGCAAACTGTACAGATAATGTAGAAAGCGTTGCACAATGCGAGACTCCTAATAGGATTTACAGGGCAGAGTCCAACACAAAGATATGCTGTCACTTTTATCTATCCGCCATTACTTTGCATACACTTCACGCGGCGGGGCAGAGATCCATTTACAGGTGCCACTTCCCTACAGCGTATCCTAACGAGATCGCTAAATTACCACGAGACAGCCATCTCCCCGGGTTGACTAATAGCAGGCAGATGTATCCTCAGGTATACATGACACCCTTCCCTTTGGCAATGTATGTTGTTAATATGCTTTTAGTTAAACCAATCACGTCTCGGTGTAGCCATTCGCATCATGCTTAATGGATATGCGATGCATTAGGGTTAACAACCTCTTGCGAAAATCACTGAGCGTTTGAACAGCTTAACATTTAGCTCAGGAACATTGGTTTTGGCCTCTCCTGATGACTGAGAGGCCGTGTGCACGCTGCAGAACCAAACGGGGGAACCGGGGGGTTGGTTTTACAGGGGGAATGCACTCATTTGCAGAGAACATTAGGGGGCCTAGATGTGAGAAATGATAAGAGAAGTATGTTGCCTCACAGGGAGGATGAGGGAACGCAGTTAGACCGGCGGTGGCACCTGCGTGATGCATCAGCTACACGTGCGTTATAAATGGAGCCGTGGTTTAAGCAACAAGCTCTTGTGAATGGGAAAAACCTAAAACTCATCGAAAAGTTCATATGAAACGCTCAGCTCATCGTTTTGATTATTTCCTTTTAGTTAATCGAGTACCGGCTTTGGGTTGGTGGAGCCGTTTTTTGACAAGACAGGGGTACACCTCTTTAACCCAAGAGGTGACTGTTCTTTACCTGTGATGTGAATGTGGTACTCCTCTTTAAAGATTCGCTTGCAGACAGGAAGCTTGACCCTCACGTGCGTTGTTGACATTCCGGGCAGGTTCATATCCAGGTCGCCCATGAAGTGAGGGAACTCCCAGTCCTAGACAGTAAAAAAAAAAAAAAAAAGATGGAAAATATTCAACCCAAACGTAAAAACCAACAGGTGTTCCAGCTGTGAAGCTTTGGCCTCAGCTGAACAAGTCTGAGCACATTGAAGCGGCACGCTGACAATGACAAATGTTAACCGGGTATCACGCTTTATTAGATGTTGCACACTCGAGTGAAGCCTCTTGTATTAGTTGGTGTTAAGTCTCTGCGGAGTCTCTTCACACGCCGACTGGAGGTCAGACATGGTGTCGGTGGCCGGAGCCTGTGGATCACGCTGTGTGTTTACAAGCCTGTGAAGTGTGCACGGGGACTTCGACATGTCAAAGTCCATCAGCACTCAGACCAAACTGACATTTAGAAGATGCCTATGCCCCTATGGTGTCACTAAGATTCTTTTTTTTCTTTGCAAGTGCATAGTTAAATTTGCAGGCTGGTGGCTTTCCAAGCATAGCTGTCACGATTAACTCTAGCAACAAAATAAAAAAAGAAATTCTTTTTAAATGCTTTTAAAAAAAGGTGATCTCATAAGATACTGGAGAAAACAACATGCAAACTTGCCAAATTAACATTCATTTAAAGAGGTCTTTGACTTCTTCTTAGTATCTGCATTAAGTTAAGTTTTTAAAACTTTGACAGAGTCTGTTGCTGATGGTACTGATGTGCACATGAAAACAAGACAAATAAAATTCTAAGCAAACTCCAGCAATGTCTTGAATACCTGCTGGAGAAAGACCTAAAGGGAAAATATTCAGCAGGACAGTGAACAGGCAAACGGGGCCTCGGAGACAGACCGACTGTGAGCATCGTGAATACGTGTTTACATAATGTTTTGGAGGAAAACCTCTCGACAATACATATCAAACAACGCGCTAACTGAGCCGCGCCAACGAAAAGTTGGCCTTCACCTAGAGAGCGCGTTATCTGATATGACCGGGCTGATGGCTTCACCACAGGCAAGCGGAGCGCTGATGTTTCCCAGACGGTACTGCGTAGCGTCACTGCACGCCACAGCGACTTCTCATTTGATCCGAGGCGTGTGGGGCTGCATGTGCAGCAGGCAGGCGATTGGGGAGACGCATGGGAAACCGAGCAGCGATAACACAAGAAATGTGAAAAGTGCAAAGCGTTGCATGAGTTTCTGTAAACACTTCAAGGACGGCTTAAAGAGAAATGTTTTTCAGAAGCTGTTTTGCGGAGCCATTGAGGCGTCGGGCACGTTTGCAAGGCCGCCACTTTAATAACTTCAACCCTACTTTGTAAGTCGCTTTTGATAAAAGCATCTGCTAGATGCATAAATATAAATACAAACTTACAAACAGGTGTGGTTAGAAACTGTGTGCCGCAGGAAAATGCAAATATTAGATTGAGTTTTAGGCAGAACTAAATCATAATTGACTCAGATTGGCATCGTCCCTTGTTCAATTTCTAAACTGTAATTAGTTACTCTGCATGAGGAGTGTATGCAATTAAAATGGAAAAACAGATGAAACTAATGAAAACCTCAGTCGTAAAACAGTTTCATTAAAATTAGCCGGCAGAATGAATCAACTCGCAATATAACATTCTTTGTTGTCGTCGTTTGAGAAAAGAAAAATAGACAGAAAGAAAAGCGCAAACAGTTTCGGACCAGCGGTGTTGTTCCTTTGTCTGAAGTGCTTGATGTGTGAAAGGACGTTGTGCGTATCTACGTGATCGTGCGGTTCAGGGAGATTCATGCCGGAATCTGACTGCTGGAACTTCCATTTTTACAGCTGAAGCGGGCACAATAATGACACTTAATTAATTAAACCCGCCAATTAATGGCTTTTTATGGCAAGTGCAACAGGGTTAAATGTGTGTATGCTTATGTACAAAGAACAAATATTCAGACGTTGAGCTGGGAAAAAATTCAAAGTGCAAAACCCTGCTTGAGGACAAATCCGGACTGGCCATTAATCGGGGAATTAATTAGCTTGAGAACACCTCCGCCCTTGGTTTCTCATGGAGATGTGAGATCAGCAGTGGCGCTGCTCCAGAGCGGAGGAGAATGAAGCTGTCGGGAGGTCTGCTGGGGAGGAAAGCTTAGGCCGTCGGTGCAAGGGGCCACTGGAACGACACGGGCCGGCTCGCCTCGTAAATTTCTGCAGTAAATGTGCTTGCTGTACAGTGTGCAGAAAATGAGAAGGGGGGCGTTGTAAACAAATCACCGCGAGTGCTGAGTGATATACCGGCAAGAGAACGGGGTCAGCGGCGGCGGCAGGGGGGAGGGGGGACTCCGAAGAGCTGTCCAAAACGGGGATTTCATGCCACACGAGGTCTGTGCCTGGAATCTGAAGGCTGAATGGGGAGGCCTCCGCAAGACTCTGGCAACTCCGCGAGGAAGCGCTTGAGAACTGGGAGAGCGGAGCTATTTCTATACATCTGCATAATCACAATAATTCGCTAAATTAATGTGGAGAAGACCAGAGTGTGAAGTAATTAGTGGCCAGAGCAGCCAGAGGCCCTTCTTAGAATAATGAATTGTTTCAATAAAAGCAGCCTAGAAATCCTTTTTAGTGCCACACTTGTTACCATGGGAATTAGAATGGTGACCTTGCCATGTTTCAGTGGAGTGGTGTATTTGTAACAATTGAAGATGTTCTCCCATGAAACCGCTTTGTAATTAGCATAATAAACAGTGTAGGAACATATATTCAGTGGATAACAAATATTGGTATTGCGGCGTGTGCTCTAATACCCACTAATGAGGCCAAATGAAAAATAATTAAATAAACAAACAACTGGCCTGTGGTTTCTTGCCTGTGATGCGAAAAACCCCTCCAATACACTTTATCTTCAGTGCTCAGTTATGCGTGTGCGTTATGTCTAATTTATCTATTAATTTATTTATTTTACCCAGACAAATGTGTTTTAATATTCATGAGCCGGTGACACGGGCTTTATTGATGTGCTGTTTCTTGAAGGAGGGAGGACACTGGCTGGCGAGGAAAAGAGGGAAGAGGAAAAACTCCAATGTTGCGAGTCGTCATTAAGAAAATAGATATTTTTTTAAAAAGCGTTGCGAGAGAGGAAAGGATGGGTTGGCGGGTAAAGACGGATGGCATGACGGGGAAAGGAGAAGGAGAAATATGAGTCTTTGCATTTGTGTCTTTGCCAAATCCTGAGTGATCAAACACACTTCTCGCTGCTGTGTGCCGCAGTGCCCCGTTGATGAATAGCGAGAATGGGGAACAAGCGGGATGGGTAGTGGACTGAGCCAAGAGACATGCCGGCTCCATTTTTTTAATTGGCCACGGGGGAGCGGTCTACCTGCATGACAATGAGAAGGTCGAAGACCAAGATGAAGGAGGCCAGGAAGGCCCTGGAGACCTCGTCGCTGGGCAGGAAGCCTCGGTTCAGGTGGTCCCAGCTGATCCAGTCGGTGCTGATAACCAGAACCACCACCGAGGTCAGAGAGAAGAGGACTGCCCTGCAGGAGAGGGGAAAGGAGGAGTGGAAGGAGGGCGAGCAGGAAGAAAAGAAAAGGGGAAAGAAGGGATACCCAGAGAAAGAAAGGAAAGATTGGGAGAAATAAAGAGGAAATGGGACGGAAAGGGGAAAGAGGGCCGTGGGAAAGAGGTTGGAGGGAGAAATCCATGAGTGACATAATATATCCTGGAATTAAGGATGCTGCAAGATACCATCACTGGCAATACCCGAGACAATAAACACACAAGTGTGTGATTTAAGACTGCTGATTTAAATTTAAATAAACAATGTTTCATGGTCCTGATAGCAATAGAAGCTTTCCATTCATCTACACCTACCAGAGTGTAACTCTGGCATGGATCAATTCCTTTTTTAATTTTTTAGTTTCTAAGATTACTAAACTGAAATAAAAAATGTTAAAAACTAAGTATTCATATGTAATGAAGCTTCCAGGATGATGGATGTGCATAGAAGAAAAGCAGTGAAACATGAGGCGGTGGAAAACACAACTCTCTTGCACATTTCTTTCCATGTCTTTACATATTTAACACAAAACCGCTTCCAACAATTACAGTCTTTTGGAAATTTTTGGAGTTTAAGCCACACTGCTCTAATTCTGTATCCACCATGCGCTGGAAAACATTTTTCATCCCTGTGAGGAGAAGAGCGTGGACTTAGTATTAGCCTCCACAGTGTATTTTGTCTCAATGTCATCCAGCGATTATTGCGCCGCTCTGTGTATTCTCACTCTGCACATCGGCTGGCTGCTCTGCAGATAGACGCTGCCAGCTTATATCTCACTTTAACAGTTTGGGAGATGCGTTTTTGGGTTCTTCATCATCAGAGAGTGGGATTTCGTTCATTTCTCTTTTTCTCTTGCGTGCTCTCTCTTTGGGAACCGTCCCGCTCCAGTGTTCTGCAGCACGTCAGAGCATAGTGAAGAGAACTACCCGCCGGCGCGTTTATCAATCACATTTCAAGCTCTGGATTTCAAAGGATGGCTCGTCAAATCTGCCATCGATTGTGACAACCCCAGTCTGGGCATCCATCAATAAAAAACGGAAAGCTGCGGAAAAGTCTTGGAAGAATTTGTCCGCTTGCATCCCAAACGCAGAAGAATCGATTCCGGGGAAGGACACGTTTAACACTGAGGGTGAGCTCTGTCTGAGGCCCGGGTTATCGGCGGCTTTAGCTTTTCCTGCACATGTCAAACACATGTCAGAGAGGTGCGCTTTCTCCACTTGTCATCATCGCTTTGACCCTGGAATGAACCGGAGGAAAGGGCGCTCACGTGGCACCCTGGACTGGCGTGAACATCGTGGATCGTGCTCTAGTGGTGCCACTCATCCCTACGGGGAACCCGTCTGTTTGTCCGTGGATTAACGGTCGCTGCGGACGTGGTGTGTTGGATTTGTTTAGCGGTTCTTTTCAGGGTCACAGCTTGTGGCGCGAGTAAGCAAAACGCAAGGGTTGTGGCGCGCCCTGCAACCTCGCTGTGTCCATCGATTTTCACACTGTTCCTCTAATTTAAGGTGCTGACACTGAGTGAGAAGATTAACGCGGCTATTGACTGCACGCAACCCAGCGAGACCACACTGCACGCATATATGTGCACAAACTTGTACAAACACAGCTCCGCAGAGCCTCGTTTATATATATGTATATATGAATGTAAATAAATGTAAACATTGTATACATATATATATATATACATATATACATATGAATGTATATGAATATTTATGAAATTTAGGTAGAGAAATTGCACAATCAAAGACCTCAGACACACCAGAAAAGGACGATCCTGTTGTTGCCTCGTTTCCAGAACCTTCTGGCAAATTTGCCCCAATCTGGATAATGCTGGTCCTGGAGCATCATATCTGTCACCTGTGGGAGGGAGAACAAAGAAAAATAAAAAATCCATCCACAGTCGTATGCTTGTTCTAGAAATGCTGCAAAGGGATGGTTTAGTGGTGTCTGATTAAAGCAAGAAACAAAATAAGTTATTGCAAAATAATGGAGTTCCTGGATAACTTTCCTACAGTTGACAGGCAACGTCATACAACAATCCAACAGTCTACAGGCTTCAGCATAAAAGGAAATTCACTTAGGTTTTTTTTTCTTTTTCTCTGTCACCATCTATCTCATAACGCACCAAGAGGGAGTGGGGAACTTGTGAATGTGCGTGAGCCCGTGTGAGTGAGAGCCTGTCATCGTAAAAACGTGGGTGGGGACGATTAAAAGCCGCGCAAGCTGTCATCCCCGGCCACTCAGTCATCCCCCTGTCCGGTCAGTTAGCAGCGGAGCATCATTCTCACTCTGCTCAGCCCTTAGGACTGTGGTGTTTTTTTCAAAAGATAAGCACGCATTTGGATCTGTGACACCACAGTCACAAACTAATGACGAGGAGAAGACGTGAAATCAGCAGGAAGATACACCCTGCTTTTGAACTGCTAAAGCCCTATACTTCAGCCACAAATGTAGAAGTTGGGGCCTAGTGAGAGGGATTCTCTAGTGTCCTTGAGAATGCAGCTTACGTGTTCAAATTGACCTGTTAATTAGTGGATTTCTAAGGAGCTGGCCACTGTTTATTATATGAAATATGCTCATGGCTTTGTTTGTCTTATCAGTCCACTTAGTTAAAGCAAGACATTTCTTTTCATGCTCATTTTAAAGGAATCATAAGGAACTCTTTTAGTTTGAATTCAGTCACGTGGTGAGATATTGAATTTAAAATATCTCACCACAATTTTTTTTTTATTCCAATTTCTTTTATATAAGGAAATCTAGCAAATGATTTTGAAGTCAATATTTAAAGTTCAGTATTTGCTTAAAGATTAAGCAGTGTGTTGGGATTCAGATCTATTTGTTGATCACTTGGACAAAGAGCCAGGCGCTCTTGGGCAGTAGTTCTCCCAGCTATCTGTAAACCTTTCAAAGTATATATTTGCAAATTTTTCTCCTTTTTAATACGTTTTCCTTCCTGTTCTTGTCAAATCACTGAACTCCACCTTTTTTACCGTTCAAGCTTAAGAGCCAGGCTACACATAGCAGAAAATCAAAGATATATCCAGCACTTTGCTACATGTCAGACGCGTGCCGGTAATTTATTCCCTTTTCTGTTGTTGCGTCTGCAAGGAAATGCCAACTGTGACTGTTTCACAAATATGAAATAGAGCTATGAGCAAAAAATGTTGTATTGCTCAGTTTAATGTGTAGTCTGTCCTCAAAAAAATATTGAAACTGAATTCGGAGAACAAATCCAAAAGACAAAACATTTGCACAGCAGATGATTAATATCTGAGAGTAATGACCTAAACAAAAATGAAAAAACACCTATCAAAATTCATTACACATGCGATGTAGTACTTACATAGATGTATTAATGTAGTACTTAGATATTTCTACCTTATAAGTTAGAAAATATATGACAGGTGACTGTGTGGGCGTGTGGTTTTTAAATATGGATAAATTAAATTAGAGTCATACATCATTTGAAGTGATATTTTGTGTTTGTATAAGCATGGGATGATGTTTCATTCCAGCTTAATGTCATGGAAAGCTCTCTGAGTTGGGTCAGGACACCGTAAATGGAAAAGGCCAAACATTTCTATATGTGATGGTGCAGCAGAAACAGGATTAATTTTCCAGGAGAGTGTTACAGATAGTGAGACTCCTTGTTGGACAAGTTATTCGGAGGATCAGGGAAAGGTTGTGGAATTGTTGTGGGACTGAGGCGTCTCACAAACAGACGTTTCCTGTCAGGCCATCTAATGAAGACACAGAGTTATGCAGAGGAGACCCAGAGGTCATCTTCAAAGTGCCTTTTTGAATTAATCAAATGTAAAAAAAAACAACAACTTGTGAGTAATTTCTGGATTCAGCACTTTGGCATGGCATAACATTTTCTCAAACACACACACACACTTACATACACCTCCTCGCTTCCCATCCACCCCACCCCCCTCTCCCCTTCACCTGCGTTATTCTGTGCTTCTTCTCTCCCTCCTCCTTCTCCTCTACATCTCCTTCCACTCCCTTCCCTTTTTCTCTGCAGCATGTTCGCTGGAATACTAATGTGAGGCAGCTTGTCAGGTTGTCTCAGCTGCGTGGATGCAGGTGTCAAAGCCCCAGTCCTCCCACCACGGGGCGTCCACTCCCACTAGAGCTCCCCTCTTTTCATGTTGACAAATGAACAGAGGGAGCTTCTTCGTCCAGGATAATCTGTCGCCCCCCCCGTCCATCCATTTGTTTCCCCTGACCCTCCTTAGATCGCAGCTGCGTGTTAGTCAAGGGGTTTGAAAGCTGAACTCAATTAATGTGGAGGTCTGCGCTATAGCTACGTCCTAATAATTGAGAAAACACACCTGAGCTAAGAAAATTCCACAGAAGTGTGAGGAGTGCTTTCATTTTCATGCTCCTTTCAAGGAATTCTGTAAAATAAACCTGAGAAAACTCAAGTCATGGCCACACTCATCGGCTTTAGCATGCCTACATGTCATTTGTCAGAATTAAAAACTAAAAATGAGTTTTTTCTCCAAAATGTAAGTGTTTAACACAAGACTATCTCACATTTCTACTGTCTATTGAGTCCAACTACTAGCATTGTTAAGAGCTACTTGCATGGCGGTGTGGATTCTTGTCATTGTCTCAGTAAGGTTTAAATAAAGCAGGTTTCCAATGTGAAAGCTTCTCTTTATTTTTCATAAACTATCCCGGTGTCGGGCATACACGAAGGCTGGAATCTCACCATCCAAGCTGTGACAAAATCCCCCATCCATGTCCCCACAGCGGCAATCTTCATAAAACTCTCATTCCTGATGCCCATGTACTCTGTCACCATGTGAGGCCTGTGGAGAAAAAAAACAAAAAAAAAAACAATCATGAGTGAATAGGACATATAACATGTAGCATATCCCATGAGGGTAGTAACAAAAAAACAAACAAACAAGCAGAGCAGAATGGAAGCCGTAGCAATGTCTGCAAGAATCCAGAAAAAAAAAATCAAGAAAAAAAATGTCATTGTGTTGAAGTCTTACAGTCCTGGTCATGATAGTCAATCAATACAAACCCAATCTTGCGAAAACAATGATTGCTGGCTCTACCTTCCGCAAAGCCCACAGGATTGCAAACAATTTACACCAGAGCAGTGGAGTTTATGCCATACTGCCCGTTTCATTTGGTCATGCTGTGTCTGGCAAATGATCCTATTTGTTTGGCAAATGGGTCATTTGTTGGTCCCGTGTCCGGCCCATTTCAAATCGGCCGGCGCCGTTACGGCGAGGTCCCTCCTGTTGAAGTGTCGGATCTACAGTAAGTGAGCTTTTCTTAACATGTGCAGTTGCACCGGGGCCCGGGAACGCCATCAGAGAAACAATCTCACGTGCAATCGTGTCTGATAAAAAACAACACGAGCCGCTTTCTCGGGAGCCGTCGTTACTCCTTCATCTCTGAAGATGAGAAGCTTTTGTTCAGCCCCCTCAAACCTCTCCGCCCGCCCCAGCACACTCGCATACTACGTCTCTCCATTTTTCCAGGTAATAGCTCAGGGAGGGATGAAAAGTGGGTCAGTCGCCTCCTATATGGAGCTTGCATTGGAGGGCTGGAGAACAGAGGGGAGCAATGAGACCTGTTTGATCTCCTGGCAGCCAGTGTCTCAGAAGCTGAGTGGAGCAGGTGGGCAGCCACCCCCCCCCCCCCGCCCTCCCCCCCCCCCGGGTCATCCCCCCCCCCCCCCCCCGACAGGTCACACTGGTGAATATAATAGATGGCGATGGATGGGGCTCGGGCTGTACTTTCAAGGGGTCATATTAGGAGTCAATGGTTTCATTCGTCTTTGTTTTCCATGGCCACGAGCAAAAACCAATAAAAGGATTTCTATTGCACATAAAGCTCTCGAAAAATTCCTGACCATAGCATCACAACAGCAGAGTTCACTTCCAGCGTATACGTTTCCCCACGATTGCTTTGTTTTCATTTCCCCCCTCCGGCCGATGGCGTGAAGAACACCACTCAGCACGCCGTTCACTTTCCCAATCCCATAAGTCTAAACAATCTGTTGGGGAGCAGCGGACAGCAATCTGCTCCAGCTATTAGCTAAAAGCAGCAGACTGAATACGTGTTAATATCTCATTAATGCTAAACGCTCATGTTCTTTAATGTAAACGGACTCCAGATCACAATATGGCCTGAGTGGCAAAACAGAGCGACCATGATTAATTGTGATGTGTTAGTGACCCAAAACTGTTCTAAACTACTTGGTTACTGTAGGAAATATCCGTCACTGGATGCATAAATCATATACCATCCAGGCAGCGTGCCTTTAACAGGGCTGACAGGCTTTTATTGACGAAAATGTGCGGCACTGCAGGTGACGTATTGCCTCACTTAAGCCTGCAAATAAAACGGCCTTGATTGGAATGGCGATTTATATCTGCATTAAGTCGGTTAGACTTTCAGTGGCCTGGCTCTGCTCCAGTTTCCAAGGAGATCCCATTGGGAGTCATTTACCCGCAGCGAAATTCTAATCGATACTTCTGGAAATGCTGTCTGGCACCGAATGCGGGGCTTTAAATCTAAAAAACTACCCTCCTGCCAACCCGTGCCCTTCTCATATTTGAATGAGCAAATGTTACTCCTGCACTAAAAGATCCTTTTTTTCCCTCTTCTTTTTAAAAAAATCTATGATAGTTTGGGGACTGCGTGATCAGAGGCAGAGCCCTTTGACTTAAGTAAAAATTTAATGGCCTTTAAAGTTGGATGACCTAATGAGAGAATTTGGTGTAGTGGAACAGCAGTATGGAAGCACCATGTAAAATCAGCTCTAAAATGACTCCCGTGGCTTAATCACGAAGCCAGTTGCATTGGTGGTGCCAGCACGGCTGGCTCGGGCAGCTTTGACCCTCCGTGGAATTTTATCAGGTTTCCCCACACTTGTTCAGACATTATATTCAAGGACATTGTGATGCCCTCCTGTCTTGTCCTGTTCTATCACAAAAGCAGATATATTATATATATTCTTTTAAATTTTGTGCTACCGAGGGCAATAAGCTACAGAGGACTCAAATGACTCCTCTGACTTTACCGGAAAAGTATTTAAAAAATGAATTAAATAAAAACATCTCAGTTGCTTCATTTTTTAGTGAGATGATGCAAGATTAGCTATTGCTTTGGAGCAGAGCCGTCATTCAGGTGCTTTTGAGCCTGCTCAAACTGTAATAAAAACTGTAATAAAACTGGAATTAACCCTATAATCACATATGTATCATTTGATACATATGGTTTCTGAAATATTTTCCATCGGAGACCTTTTGCATCAATTAATGGTAAAAACTATGTAATAAATGATAAATATTCCCCCCAAAAATATGGTTTTGGTTATGTTATGTTAAAAAAAAATCTTTGTCTATTTTTCTTGGATCGGGCTTTAAAAGGTTAAAAATCTCTGCTTCCTGATTTGTAGTTGTATCAAAAATGTATTTAAATGTAATACCTGGTTTCAATCTGAGCTTAAATGAGCTGACGGAAATATACAATGGAAGGACAGAAAAAAAGAGTCATCAACTGGATTGAACGAAGCAAAAAGGTAAGAGTCTCCCTCTGGAGAAGCACTACAGTGATTAATGTTCCCGTTACTGAACCCAAACTAATGCAGTGGGTAGTTTCTCCTCCCTTAAAAAGTCCTGTCAGGGGACTCGTTTGGTGGCTGTAGCAAAGATTTTAAATCATCTTGATATAGGTCCATTTGCAGGCCTGAAACAAGCAAATAATGCAAAATAAGAGAGTTTGGCAAAACTACTGCATGCCTCATTTAAGCATGTAGGGATAGCTGTGGAGCATCATCAGTAATGACTCCACAACCACAACTGGATGATGACTCTAAACAGGAGCCTTCAGAAAGCTACGTTTGGTGTAAAAACGGGTGCAGTTAGCCTGGAGCTATGGATAAAAGATGATGAGTCCTGCCGTACCCTGCTTCAGATTGTATCAATTAAATAAGGGAATGCCATCATGAAAAAACTAAAGAACAATGTCAGTGGACAGTGGAATATACCAAAGGCTTTCCTCAATAATGGATTTTCTCTTGCCTCATGGCATGGGCGAGAATGGTTGAGGGAGCATTAGACATCGTTTTCACACAAAATTTATGGCACAAGATTACTCCTCACTCCACATGATCTCACACAATTTCACCATGACAACAGACGGTTCGTTCTAGGGTGGCCTGATAAAAAAGAAGTTTTAAACAACTTGGAGTTCGGTGAGAGCCGTTCCGTTACATCTATCATTTTCCAATTTCCTCCACCGTCCGCTGTGCACCAGTGTGCAGAGGCCTCTTTTTACAAGGCAAACACTTTCTGCCGCAAGAGTTCCGATGGTCGAGCTCTGTTTTCTTCAAAAGTCTTAAGTAAAAGCTTTTCGAACGCCCGTGGAGGCTATGATTATTAAAGCTTATAAACCGGCATGATGTGAGGCCTTTCACTTATCAGCCGCCAAATACACTGATTTGTATTCATTTTTCATTGTCTATTTGAACGTATAGGCCGGCATGCGGGCTTTCATAAACCTGTTTTCTCTGTCAGACACTGGCAGTGATTTAGAGACTGAAGGAAGCGGGTGACCTCATCTGCCCCGTAAAATGCTCGACTCAATCAGAACAATAAACGCCGACCTTGGCTCGCTCCGCATTGGAACGCGTTGCCCGTCTCTCCTTCCTCTGCTCTACACTACCTAACATTGTGTTAAGAGTTTACAACGGGGAGCAGCAGTAGTTACCAGGAACCGTATAACCGCCAATACCATGACTTATACCGTCTCTCAAGGTAACTTTGATTCCAGGTCTCTATTTCTCCTCAAAGAACCGTCCCTGTGTTTTAACCACATTGCTGATCAAGTCCTTATCGCTGACTGAACACTGAGAGGGAATACCATCAGGAAATATTCGGTTTCTAAGGTTTAAAAAGGGACACAAAGGTCAAAATCAAAAACTGATACCATGTTCAGTCAGCCATTTCCAGTCATAGATATCAGCACAACACAGCATACACAGCACCTTAAAAGATACACACACTAACTGTGTTTTTCCTTAAATAACTAAAAGAATTATAATTCATAATAAATAATTATGAATTGATTAAGGTTTGGTTTTTAATTTAACAGACCCCACACAGAACAGTCAAAGCTGTAGCCAAAGTTTATGATGCAACAGATGTGTGTCCAAGTTTCAGACACACTATTCAACATGATACCGTTTCCAAATACAGCCGGGGTACAGACAGACTGATAAGCACAGTTCGATATCTGGAACACGGTTTTGTTTTTATGCATCTTCCTTAGAGAATCCCATAAAACCAACAAGTTCTACAAATACAACAAATCAAAGAACAGTCTAATGATGTTATGCCAATATGAGCAATGAGCAATAACCTTCAGTTGGTTGTTTTTGCAAAACATTACTACACAATAATACCCACCTTACTCAGCTTAACTGACTGGACAAGTTACCTTCTATATCATGTGTATAATAGCTTGTTTCTTCTAGTCATTTGTCAGAACAGTTTCTGCAGTTTGTGATAAAATTACGGGCCTAAAGAACGCAACATATTTCAAGATAAGGCTGGTTTTCTGGAGCTGTTTCGCTGGAAACGGCGCACTGGAAAACACGTGGAGCGGGTTTATTGTTCTGCAGCGTGCTCGCAGGTGCATGTTCCTAACGAGCGGTGTCGATGACGGCCGACATTAAACGCCCATGCAGAATCAAAGCAGTCAGAAATGAAAGTGAGCAGATCAGCCAGTGATCTGTCTGCCGTAGCAGGAGCTCCAGACATGAGGATTTCATATCATCCACGAACAACACAAAAGAAGAATGGGGAAAAATGTAATTAATTACCGAGTTTCTCTGTAATCCCTGTAAATGTCTGATCTCATAATTTGATCAAAGGTGTGGTAAGCCTCTGAACATGGACACTGAATGAATATAAAACATTTGGTAAGCGGCATCTTATATATTTTGATCTTTACATATGTACAGTACATGAGAAGTCTCTCTGTCTTACACACACACACACAGCTAAAAATAAAATCAATCTTCTCTGCTGCGTGTGCACTTCAGAAACGCTTTATGAATGGGTTTTTATTGAAGAATCAGATACAGCAATAAGTAAGCGTCACAAGGCATAGCCACACACTTTGTGTTGTGTTTCCAATGGCACTGACGTCCCATTTAGCATAGAACTCTGCCTGTTGTTAATGGCCGACGGATGGCATTTGGAAAGCACTTTGTCAGTTCCACTGAACACTGAAAGCGCATTTTACAGTACGATTCACATTCACTCATTCATACGCGCCTTCCTAATGCCCCTCATATTTCATACGAGCGGCTGTCTTCTGGGAGGGAGCCAAACAGGGGACCCCATAGGTTGGACTGTTCCAGGAGCCACCACAAAGAAGCCAAAACAAAAACAACAGATACAAATCTAGGCGTCTAGAATAGAAGTTCAGCGCACACGAGCCTACAACATACAGCACAACCAACAGCTGCCGCCGTTATGGAGGTTTCTTATCTGCCTCCGTACGTGACGATGCATGAAGTGCGCAGCCCCCGAATGACGCTCCTTCCTTCTGTCCCAGAAAACAGCAGGATGATCTAATAAGAGAGAATATGACCCACCTCGCCACTTCACATAGCACCCAGGCTGCTGGTGGGGGCCTTCTGATAGGAGGGGGAATGTGTTTGGAGGGATGGTTTTTACTCCAATCGCTCATCTGACATGGAGGCCGCTTTAATGAGCCGTTTTCCAAATACCACCCTCGTGTGTGTGTGTGGGAGTGTAAAGAAAGCAGCAGGGGGATGAGCATAGCACGCATCTGTTTGTAGGTGCAGGCAAAGAAAGACCAATTAAGCTAAAGGCAAGCGAACTGGAAGAGGTTAATATCGAATCCCACTTGAGAAAAGTTGTTTTTCTCTCCCTCGGAAGGAACAACTCTGAAAATTAAAGAGGGGGGGAAAAAGAGATGGAACAATCATTTCATTTTTAGAAAGGCAGCTATTCTAATCTGATATTTGTTTTTCTCTGGGAATTAAATGACTGCTCTGCAAAGATCATAAGATCAAGTCAGAAAAGTGCCTCAGCTCCGCTGTTTCACATCTACCCTTAATGAACACTTATGATCGTCATGGAGATTTGTGTGATTTGAAAACAGACACAAAAAATCAGACTGTGGGTCTGAGGGATCTCAGTACGGGCAGTGTAGGAAATAAATGCAAACAATACACAAACACAGGCTGCAAATCATGGAAAAAGAGAAAAGGAATACGACTAATCGGCTTCATATTCCTAAACTAACAGTTGGCTGCAGACATTGGGCATTAACTAAAGGTCAGCTCGTACTGTTAAAAAAAAAACACGCCGCTGTTTCTGAGGCCGCAGCCCGTCCCCGGTGCCATCGCCAGCAACAGGAGGCATCTGCATTCCCGCCACGGCGTGCTTTTTAGTTAGCCTTTTGTCCGCGGCATTAGCCCGGCTTAGTGACAGACAAGCAGACCGACAGACGAGGAGGGGGACTCGCGCACATGCAACACAAAGGATCACGCAAAAGGAAGACAAATGCACTTATGCAGTGGGGTCTAATCCCGCTCAGGCTAACGTAGCACTCAAACGCCACATCTAACGCTCCCCGCTCCTCATTAAGCACATCCAGCCGATGCAAACCTCCCCTATGTGTTGCTCAGCTTACACCCCCCCCCCCCCTTTCAATCCTCACAGTTATCCATGTATTCCCTTCCGGAATGAGAAATAGCAGAAATATAACTGTAATTAAAAAACCTCTAGCTTCCCCCGTCCCACTCCAGCTCTCTATTTTTAGATCTCCCAGCAAACTTTCCCGCTCCCTCTGTCCCGCCACCTTCACACAACCCCCCCTACCTTTTTTTTTTCCACATTAGCTTTGATTAATGTGTACGCCACGCATTGGGCCGTCTTAATTAAATAACACCACCTAATTAGGGGCTGATTTTGGATGGTAATGGCGCCGTAAGATGGCGGAATGGGATTGCGCGGCGTGACAGAACATTCATGAAGCCCGTCAGGCTCCCTGGGCGGTCACACTCCCGTGGTTTCACATAAACAGCCCCCCTCCTAATCTGACAGTTACATTAAAATGCAAATAACCCAGATGTGAGGGTTTGGTAACAAGTGTGGATTACAGTTCCCAGGGAGCTACTACGTTTTTTTTTTTTTTTTCCCCCCCTGTAGAGTCGCATAAGCCAGGTAACAGGTTGATAGCTGTTGACCTAGAAGTGGCTGTTCAAATATTGGCTGACGCACTTGCTGGACAGGCCCGCGGACGCGCGTCCCGGAAACCTCTTTGTGCCCAGAGATAATGGCGCTGATGAATCCATTTTACATGGCTAAACACGAATAAATGCTTGTCGCCCCAAAGAAGATATACAATCTCTTATTACAGATTGTTTGCCGCCCTAATGGCGCAGTTTATCTCCTTTCCTCGCAGACGTATCGCGGGTTTTAATTAAATCAAGCCCGAGACCGAATGAAAGGTCAAGGAAAATGAAAGCATATTAATGAGTGCAGGGCGCGGGCGGCATGCAGCATCAGGTCAGGGAGACGGCGGGGGGGGGCACAGACCCCCTCCTCCTATCTCCCCACGCTGATACGCACGGTGTGAGATGTGAACAATATGTAACGTGTGTGTGTGTGTGTGTTTTTGTGGCTCCGTCAAGCTGCCAGAAGATCATTCCCCTGCAGTGCACCATCATGGCTTGATGTCAAAGCAGGTGAACCCCCGCCAAAATACCAGCCCTTTAAAAAGCCTTGGCAAGGAAAAAATACCTCCCAGCAGGTAGTTCTTTCTCTGCAGAAGAAGAAGAAGAAGAAGAAGGAAAAAAACCCAGCTTTTATTCCCACGTAGGGCCAGCTGCTGCCACAAAGGGATATTGTACTTTTCCTTTGAGCTGTGAGAGAACTACGGCGGCTTTTGCTGCAGGGTGAGGCGACGGCGGTTGGGGAGAGGGGAGAGATGCAAATAGGGGGTTTGGACAAAGATCAAAAGAATTAAGTTTCACTGCATCAACAGACCTTGAGCACTCCCCCTCACCACCACCACCACCACCACCCTTTCCTTCCCACACTCCATCACCTTTTTTTCGCTCACTCTGCTGCATTCTCCCGCTCCCATCCCCGGGCTCGTGTTTTTTTCCGAGAGAGAGCGTCCTGGCAGAGGGGGGGGGGGGGCGGCCCCTTGGCCCCGGGGGTGTTTTGAACAGAGATGTGAGCGTTAATGGTTTTTGGCAGGGGCCCGGGTCCTTAGTGGACACTCTGGCGGAGCAGAGAGGAGGGGCGGGCGGGAGCCGGGGCAGAGAGTGACCAGGTGGCTCACTCGCTTTACAACAGCACCATCTGTCTCCGGGCGGAGGGATCTACAGCGGCCGGTCGCCAGCGCTCCCCCCCCGCAGCACGCACGCAAAAGCGAACCGCCGTGGAGAGAGTGGTAGCGTTTTAGCGAATAATCTGTAACAGGTGCCACTTGTTTAATGGCCGTTTTTAGTAGGTAAAACACGTACGGTGCCCTGCGTGTATCGGAGGGCCATTATTCATGCTCCTATTGAAAAGCTTTCAAAACGTCTGAGTAACTTGTCAAATCCTTAAAGAGTTGTGTCCAGCTGTGATTAGCTGAAATGAAAAAGTCTCCAAAAAAAAAAAAGAACTAACAGGCTAAAATGGGCCATTTTCTCGACATTTCAGAGCTGGGAGGCCGTGTCAAGAAAGAAAAGAAGAAATAAAAAAAAAAGAAATCCTCTTTGTGACAGAGGCACTAAGTACAACTGCAGATGGAAATTTTTCCCTGAGCCAGCAACATTCTGCGTCCCGGCGGAGCTGCCCCGTCACTCGCCCGTTTCCTTTTTCTCGGCCAACCAGAATGAGCAAGATGGATGCCGGGTGTCGCTGTGCCGGCCGGAGTGACAGATGGGCCGATTATACAATCTCATCCCTCCGGCCGCAGAAAAACACAACACCTTCCCTGCTAGCTAGCGTCGTCTGCCTGCTCCTTATGGATAGCTGAGGCCTGTTGTTAACACGGGGGGGGGGGGGGGAAACTGCATTGTGTGGACAGATCCCTTACAGCCCCGGCTTCCCTCCTGACAGGTCGCAGTAGAACAGACACCTGCGACGCTATTCTTTTAATCTTTTTTCATTTGGCTACCAAAACAAACTAAATCATCTATGAGCCCACGGTTGGCTGGCTGGCTGCCTTCAAGGGCGCTTTTAGATGGAAACATTTCAAATGCATAAACGGATTCCTGTCAAGGCTTGACGGGTCGGTGTCAGCCTCTGCTGTGCACACGCTGGTTTCCCAGAAGGTAGACAGAAAAAAGGGAAGAGGATGAAAAAAATGTAAAAAAAGACCCAAACTTAAGAGACGTGCTATAAACATTTTTGGCATCCAGCCAAAGGGGATGTCCAAAAACGAACAAAAAATAAAAACGTAAGCCAAAATCATGGGTGGATGAGGGCAGGTGCTGAAGGTGATCTTTCAGGATTAACCACCTTCCCCTTGTCTGCGCCAACCGGTGATTTAAAGCGTGGGGCTGATTAATCAGAGCCGTATCGAGTCCTCGTTCAGGCGAGACGCTGAGATCAATCACAGCAGCCAAAGGGGGAGCGCACAGGGAGGCTCTAACAAATGTGAAGCACAGAATGGAGAGGGGAGGGGGGGGGGGGTTGGGCGGGGGGGGGTGGGAAAGAGAGATTGAATGCCTTACTCCATGCTCCCAGCCATCAACAGGAACAGGTTGTAGATGTGTGAGAAGATGAAGAGGAAGAGGATGGTGCTGAAGAACATGGTCATCCAGGAGCCATGATCCTCGCGGAACATTTTCAGCCGCAGGTATCGACCTGAAAGGGAGCACGGACAAGGACAGCGCGGTCAGTGGGGGGTTCAAACAGCCCTTGTAGCACGGGCGGACAGCGAGACAAACAGGAGGCCCAAGTAAATAGATTAGTCACAGGGATCAATAGCGTCCTTTTCCGTCAGACACGCGTCCTTTGGGCGCTGAAACCGAGGCAAAAAGAAACAACAAAAAACACATTGAGGGGGTTTCTTCTACACCGGTTTTTTCCAGACAAAATCAAAAATCAATATTTCATCATTCCCAACAGGAAACATTCTGAATTTGCATAGCGTCATCTGCCTGGATACTAGTTTGCGTTTCACACATTTGACAGCGTCTGTGCGTTCCATCAGACTTCGGGCTAGGAATCCTGTCCGAGCATGAACCCATTCAGATCCACACAACTCGGGACTGAACGTGCAATCAAACGGGTTTGTGGTGTGGTGTTAGGGCTCAGATAAACTCGGGGCTTACGATGCTACAGCAGCTTGTTGCTGCGACAGAGAAAAATATACTTTTAAATCAAGAAGTGGCTCTTTTTTCCCCCCCGCAGTGATCGGAGTGAAATGAAAGTATGAATTACTCAGCTCTGGGAAAAACCACGTGCGGTGCAATTATACATGCATAATGGAATTGCACAACAGCTGTTGTGTCTTTGATCTTCCTCCTACACAGCTCGTGGGAACAGAGGCAATCTGCATTTCATATTATGGCTGTTCTCTTTTTTTTCTTCAATTTCCACTACTATCAGTCCGATCTGGATTAAATAGCCTTATAGAAATACTATAAAAACATTCACCGATGCTGATATAGCAAGATGCTAAGACGCCATTGATGTAGACATCTAAAAACATCTGGTGACTCTTTTATCGCATGCTGCTTTAACCATGAAAGGGATCACAACACAAAAACAAAGGAAGTTTAGCCCTCAACTAGTCCAACGTCTTCTTCAGCATCACAAAAATGTCATTTGTTTTGTTTTTTTCATTTTTACAGTGAATTTGTCACTTAAATGAGCACAACAAGAAAGAGGAGGTGGGATTTTTCCACCGCTTGCATGTGCACAGTTTAGGCTTCAAAGTGGTAACGGTTCAGACTAAAGCATGTGCAGATGTGTGTGAGACGTGGTGGGACTCGAGTTATCAACCTATGTTTGTCTGAAGTATCAGGGAGAAAATGTAAAGGGTATCCAACTGTTTCCACCTTTCTTATTATGCATACAAGATTATGCTCACATGAGCCAAACAGGGGACTGTAGTAGTAACAGTACTAGTACCAATGGTCTGCTCTCTATCGGAGTACCCCGAATTTATGCTTGCCGCATAATTGTGCATAGCCTCACATTTTATCTATTTATAGTATAACCATGTCAAAGCAGTTCTGAACTTTCACGTCTTGATAAAATGTCGAGACAACAGCTAGAGGAAGCGTTTAAATCACTGGTTGTTATCTATCTTGAACGTATTTTACCTCCTGCAGGAATAGCTGCACATGTGTGGAATTTGAGTGCAAGGAGAGAGAATGCATTTGGTATCAAATAATAATGAGGTCATAACAGCACACATTATCCACCGGTACGGTGAGCCTGCTGGAATATAAAGTAAAATATCAATCGCTTTCAAATGAAAAAAAAAAGAAGAATTCAGACAACGCCGCTAACTTTCTCAGTTCCGTGCAGAGATTGTGATAAATCAGCCAGCACATGGAAGCTCAACTATGTGGAGAAAAAAAAAAGATGTTTAATGTCCCTGTGAAAACTAATGGGTTGAAACTTTTAAGTACCTGGCAGGCAGTTTGTAAAGTTCTGTCCTTGTGCGGTGAAACACTGTGTTAACGCTGAAATCCTCCATGACTGGGAGAGTTTATTTAACTCCACTTCCACCGTTTTGCTCACTCACACACGCACGTGCACGCGCACGCACACACTGTGTTATCTACATGGCAGCTTGTGAACCGGTGCCAGGAGCGTCCGTCTTCCCAGGAAAAACTCTTTGTTTTTCTCTCCTCCAGCTCAGTCAGCATCCCTTTCAGTCACAGCTCCTCTGAGAGCTCATTGCAGTCGTGTCCACGCGCGCACGCACGCAGGCGCGCTCGCGCACAAAGGCTTCCGGGGAGACGGCAAAGCGGAATGCTCCATTTATTTCCCCATTAGAGCCGGGCCGCTCTGCTCCTCAGTAGTTTTACGTGCTGTTCGGCCTCGGGTCGCTCACCGCTAGTGCTTTCTAGGGGGCAAAAAAATAAAAATAATAGAGATTCCTGGGTGGAAGGTGATATTTGTGAAGGTTAAATGCAGTTTTAATGAGTCGAACTGAGAGTTCAAAAACACTTCCTGGTTCAAAACCAACAACAACGAAGCAAAACAACAAAAAAATACATTTTAATGGTGTGACTATATTGTGATAACTTAAAAATAGCAATAGATAGCTCGGTATAGTCTGAAAATCTCACAGCTGTGGGCTAAAGTCGTGGGGCCACGCGTGTGTCTCGGTCCGGGGCTCGCCTCAGCAGCATAATTGAGCTGACTTGCACGGCTGAACTTAATTGCTTCCAGTGCCAATGAGCTTTCAGAGCGGCACGTGCCCGCGCTCGCGCGGTCTGCGTCGGCCGTGTTTTCAACCGGGGCCTTTTTTCGGGACTCGTTCAGCCAGGCCCTTGAGTCACCTACGGCGGGGCCCCTCCTGATGAGGAGTGATTCATGAGCGTCGTCTCCTGCGAGGCTTTACCCACAACGAGCAGACATATGGAGGCGACAGCCGCGCGCGAGCCTTTCCTGCCACAGGAGGCTTGGGGAAAAAAAAAAAAACAAGAGAGGAGAGCGAATATTTCTCACTCCCACTTTAGACACGTAGGAAAAGCGGGGGCATTACTCAACGCTGACGCTTATGTGTTTCATTTTTACAGCATCGTCCCTCCGAGTCCACTGATGCGGGCCTGGGATGAGATCATCTTCTAATTTTTCTTAAGTGTAGTTTCTAAATGCTGAGACGCGGCTACGTCGCCATCTGCTGGTGGTACCCGGACACTACACGGGCACGGACCGGGTCTGACGTCATCTGCATTAGCAGGAAGAGCCTCGTTTCAGTCCCTCTGACACCACTGTATGGTAATATGAGACGTCCAGCATACCTTATGCTCATCATTTGGCCTTCCCTTCCATTTTCCAGACGGCTGTTTTTTTCCCCGGACAAACAACTTATTTGCGTACCAATAAATAAAAATAAAATATTTGCTTTGTCCAGTCTTTATTTTGGCCTCAATTTGGCCAAAAGTGATCACAGCAGGTTTTCCTAAAACGTGGTGAATCCTACCACTATTCCACCAGCCGCCTCAGACAGAGTGGGCTGGTTTATTCTTTTGCGCTGCCCACGAGGCTTTGAAAACACTTGGACGTGACTTTAAAGACCGCAATACTCTAGAGGGCAGAAAACAGAATAGCTATTTAGTAAAAGTCATGATAAAAGGGTGGCACTCATCCAGCTCCTCTCAGTTATTTAGAACATGCTAAAAATAAAAAAATGGCTATAATGAGAGGCTGTGTGATGGTTAGCACTGCCACCTCATGGCAAGAGGGTTCCTGGTTCAATTCCCCAGGGTAATATCTGTATTGGTACCCCGGCTTCGTCCAATGACAGCTGGGATAGGCTCCAGCCCTCCAGTGACCCTACTCGGAATGTCAAGATCTAATTTTGGGACGAAAACGTTGACATTTTAATACCATGTGTCCCATGGAGGACAGTTGTTTTTCTTTCATTTTCCCCCAGAACAGAAGCTTCTGCCGTTGCTTTCCTCCAGCGTGGGATTTCGCCAGCTGACTGAAACCCGGTGTTCCACTTTGCCTCCCCATCCCTGATGCTTGTTTTAGGTAATTAGGGCAGTCAGTCGGCTGCTTTACGGTTCCCCGTCTGCTTCTTCGTTGGAAGATGAGATTCCGGGAAGTGCTCAGATTATAAAACTAGCAGATTTATGGCAGCAATCCACTTACAGGTCATGCAGAGAGTAGAAAAACAAACACGGAACACAAGCGGAGGCCATTAGTTTAACATTTGCATTGGCACACGTGGGCAAGCAATTCTTTCTCATGTTTGAAGAGTAGTTTTTCTTAATCCTCTGTTTACACACACACACACACCAGCACACACACACACAGAGACACGGGTAAAGCTGCAGATTGATCCGATCCAGACAGATGTGAACAGACAGCTGATGGAGGAGGTCTGAAACCAGTCGGAGATGTAATCAGTCTCCATTCAACATGGAAACGCTCGCCAACACGTCTGACACAGCCGAGGGAGGTGAGCTCAGTTTGGTCCTCCAACGCTTTGATTCACTGTCGTGCTTTAATAGAACCGAATCCTGCGGTTATATTCTGCTCCGCTTAAATTAAAATGGAATTTTAATTTAAGAAATCTCTAATTAAAATGGACCTTTATCAACTCAACTAATCTTTATTTCCAAAATTGGCTGAAATATGAAAATGTCAAACTCACCACGGAGGCAAAAGCCCTGATGATAAATGCTCTTTTCTTATCAGTTCATCACTCACAGAAAAGCCGTGATAACTACTCCCGAGTTGCTTACAAATATAAAAACACGATCGGCACCAAATGAAATTCTCCCCCTGGGTGGACGCTTAGTGGCTTGGCAGGAGCTATTGTGCATGGCTGAGAGCTCATCAACGGGGCAAAATAGAGGCGTTCTCTCTCTAATTAACTGAAAACAGAAGCCAACATTTGGAGGCAACAGATCAAAAGTCCCTCGGGCTGGGGCCGTCACATCCTGGTGACGCCCGGGGTCTATGGAGACAGCTGCTGTAAACAGGGAGTCCTGAGAGAGAGAGAGGGTGGACGGCTCTTCTGGAAAGTACACTCTGAGGGCAGGACTTAACGGCAAGTCCAATCAATTCAGAAGAATAGCACCTGTATCAATCTGAAAGTAATCAAAAAACTAATGAATAAATGTGTTTGGCATTTTATATTAAAGGCTCATGAAACTGTTGCTGGTTGGTGGTATATCTTTTTTTTTGCTGCTCAATATATGAGCGCATCTTCCATTTATCATAAAAATGAGTAACACACCATTCTCCAGTGTTAGACCTATCACTGCGTCCTATAAGGCAGTTTGGAGCAAGTCAGACAAATACGAGGAAGCACCGCTAACATCTTTCAGTTCCTCTTTGTTGGAGTTTTGCTTGAGTCTGCACGTTAATTGGGCAGACTTTATCCAGGGAGCGTCATGGGGAAAGAGGTGAACACCACCATGCTGTGGCAGAGCACGGGGACTGCACCGGCCGCCTGCTCACCGGAGGGACACACCTAAATACCGCGCATCTCCTCTCTGCGAATGGTGTTTTTGTGTTGCGTAAACAGACACCATCGTCGCACAAAGCAGAGCGTCCAAACCAAAGTGAAGGAGTTTGCCAGCTATAAAGTTGAACAAGCCCTGGATTTTCATCAATCGCTCCTTTGTGCGCCAGCTTTCTTCTAGCTAAACAACCTGCGAGTGGTCACATCTGACCAGAACTTGAAGTTTATGTATTCCTGAAGTGGAATGATTCCTAATAAGGTTTAATTTCTCTGTGGGCAAACAGTACACATTATATGCAATTCTGCTGAAAAATAGAACACTAATGCACCCCCATCTAACTCTAAAAGTTATAGAGTAAAGCTAAAACGACCCACATTGGTCTAGTGTTGCTTTACGGTATGAAAGAAATTATGAGATACGATTATAAGTTTGGGGTCGGCACCGTTTCTTACTGTTGATTCAGGAGACTATACAACAGGAATGATTGTCGTTATTAAAACTCTTCATCACACATCTAACCCCGATTCAGCTTAAAGCTGCTGAATGCTGATACCCAACTATAGTTAACAACATATCTTACGTTTTATGTCTCAATTAAAAGGGTTGTGTTAAATTCTTAACCGTGCAGCTGTCATATTTGTTAGAAACAGAAAACCTTGTTGTGACTGACACTTGTGGTTCTTGGATCTTAGACGCGTTTCTCGTCTTCCTGAACCTGTCCGGGGAGTTCTGCCGGACGTCTGACCGGGGCCGGTGGTACTGCGGCGTCCTGCTGGGGCTCTTCGCCGTGGCGCTCCCCGTGGGAATCCTGGGGAACGCGGCGGTGCTGCTCCACTACTCCTGCCTCGGGAAGGCCCTGACCGCCAGCGGCGTCTTCCTGCTGAACCTGGCCCTGTGCGACTCGGCCTGGATCCTCACCCTCCCCTTCAGCCTCTACTTCAGGATCCGTCGGCGGGGGGGGCCGGCGGCCGCGCGGCTATTCTGCCGCGTCCGCAGGCTCTCCTTCAACGTCAACGTGTACGGCAGCATCCTCTTCCTCACGCTGGTCAGCTTCGACCGCTACGTGGGCGCGGTGCACCCCGTCCGGTCCCTCCGCTGGTGGGGGGCGGGCAGAGCCAAGCTGTGCTCGGCGGGGGCCTGGGCGGGGCTGGTCATCGGCTCCGTCCCCGACCTGTTTGTCACGTTCTCTGCCCGGCGACCGAAGAACCTGGACGTTTGCCTGGACCACGTCAATGGCCCCTTCCTTTACTTCAGAGTGAGCACCGTCCTCCGGACAGCGCTGGGCTTCCTGCTCCCTCTCGCCGCCCTGCTGGCTTTCTACGTCCGGACGGCGTGCGTTCTGAGGCGTCTAAAAGGAGGGAAGAGGGTGGGCGGGGCTAAGCGCGGAGGCAGGAAGCCGCTGCGGCTCCTCACCGCCTCCGTGCTGCTCTTCCTGGTGTCCTTCGTGCCCTATCACGTCATGGTCGTGGCCCTGATGGTCATGGTGACCCACAACATGGTGACGGCCTCCAACGCCATGGGCCTCTACGTGTCCTACGAGCTGTGCGAGGCCGTGTGCGTCCTAAGCAGCTGCCTGGACCCCCTGCTGTACATTCTGGCCAGCGGGCAGTTTAAGAGGAAGCTGCTGGCCCTGAAAAGAGACCGGTGCAGGAGGCTGTGCTCCAGGGCCAACGGGAGGGTGGGAGTTATTGGCGAGTGAGTGCCCAATGTGTTGTTTTTCCGGAGCCAGGGACGGCCAGTGGTAGAGTTTAAGTTACAAAGCTGTTTTAATCCAGGTTGGGAAGCTGTGTGACACGTGCATTAAAGCATGATGCAAAGAAGAGCAGCTCATTTCAAATCTGTATTTAGAAAAACAAATGAAATGTTGGTGGAAAAAAAGAATAAAATCAATATGAGCTACAAAGAATTAAAGGATTTTGTTTACTGCTCCAAACTGCCTAAAAAAAACTTGTCCCATCATCTTTTCAATAATCCCATACCATAGAACAAACACATTCTTGACATATGACACCAAATATCATTGCAAATATGTTACTTTTTTAGTAAAATAATGTTTTTTCTTGATCAGGTTCAGCATGTAAAAGAGCAAAGTCACAATCTCTTATTGGATTTTCATCTGTATAAAAGGATGTTAAAAAAAAGCCCAAATAAGGGAAGTATTGCTTGTTTGCATTTGTGTAGCTCCAATCTAATCCTTATCAACAAATGGTCTCACATATTGAATGTAGCGCAGTAAACAAAGCGTTTCCAATGATGTGATGAAGACCTACGTGAGACACCGACAGAAATAACAACATAGCAAATATTGTGCAAACGATCTGAGCGTGCACCTTGTATCGGCTTTTGATTTTTAGCAGCCACTGAGCCTTATTTTGCTCCTGTGCATCGCAGTAAAAAATCTCTGGGGACACAGGCCAGCATTCTCTCCAAAAAGCAGACCCCGCCGTGCGGCGGCCTTAGGCCCGCTCTCCGTCTGAACCGTAAACATTCATCATACCCCGTACTGACTGAGCTGCGGCGGGCGTGTCCCCGGAGCCGGATCCCTCTGTAACAAAAGAGCCCGGCTAATAAATCAAAGCTGGAAAGCGACAGCAAAAAACTCCGTCCACAGAGACGGTGCTGTAGGAAGAGCCGAGACAACGAGCTCCAGTGGACGAATTCATTTCGGTTATTTATGACTTGGTTCCGGACCAAAAGCAGACGCACATCTTAGATTAAAACAAGAGCTTTGCTTTGGCTGCTTTCCTTTATTTATCCGTTGAGGCCTGACTTTGACTGCTCTGCTCTGCTGGTGGATATTTGAGGATCCCTGCGTGTCACCGTCTGGCTTCTGCGTGACAGATTCTCTAAAAAAAACACACAGCTACCCACGCCAGCAGAGCTGGGAGGAGGATGATTTAGAAAAAAGCAGCAGTGACCGTGGGGCATGCCCCCCGTTTCCTGTTTCGGCGCAGATACTTTCACAAGGACTGTGATTTCAAAAGAGCTGAATGCCAAGGACTTCCACCGGTGAGCCACTGCTGGGCAAAGGGTGTGTGTGTATGTGTGTGTGTGTGTGTGCAGCACTCTGCTTCCACTTCTTATGTTCACAGTCAGCATGCTTCTCCCCATCCTTGCATCTCGCACGGCAACAAGAAAGTGGCCGGAAGGAAAAAAGAAAATGATACGACTGACCTTTAGATTTTGACAAAGGGCTGGGGAATGAAGGACGGAATCATTGTATCTTTGCAAAGCCGACAGTGAGAAAGCGGCCTAAAAATAGTCCCAGAGTGTGGATTGCCTGTCAAAACGTCACCGGTGGATGGCCGGACGCCGGCACAGCTCTCAGTTCTCTGCAGACCTTTAACCCGTGCTCTGACAGAAACAGGCTGATTGATTTCTGTAGAATCAGCGCCGTCTACGAACCAAAAAGAGGAATTCTGCTCGCCAAAACACACACGAGCGGAGATGTTGGAGTATCAGACACAGATAGACGAGTTCGCACAATTACCCCCCAATATGAACAGCCCCTTCCCACTGGGGACATAAAGCCATCGGGGATGCTTCCATCCACGGACGACATACGGTGGGGGTGTGGGTGGGGGGGTTGAGATTGACTGAACAGTTGTTTGTAACAGCATGTAAAGCAGCACCTAATCCAGGTGGGACCTGACTAATATCAGCATTCCATTTATCTCCCAGTGTCTCGGGGAGACGCGGGGGAATACACCGTGCTAATCTGGAGGCCGAGGCAGCTTTGAAAGCGGAGACGGGTTTTCCATTAACGGAGGGAGACGAGGGTTTGTTTGTAAAGAACCATTTGGGGAGTCAGGGTCAGCACTTTCCGCACGACTTTGTTTTTAAAGGGAGTTGCTGCATAAGAACTGATGTATTTGATTCGTCTCAATCCGAGTTGTCTGCTCATACTATGGCGGGCCTGCTGATGGCTCATGGTGTCATCCTGTCTTCCTTTAGAAAATAAATATCCATGAGAACAAACAGGACTCCTCTTTTCACTAAAGTTCCAATAAGATGCTTGAAAGCTTGACAAACTAAGATAAACCTATCTGGTGGAGTTCAAACCTTCAGGTATATGTAGCCGATGCTTTAGAGGGATGTGAACGAGGCTTGGAAACCTGGATTTCAAAACAGAGCAATGACTGCTCAGTCATAAAAACCACAGCAAAAATACACTGGACATACATTAAGTCTTGCAAAAGACTTGATCCTGCCCCTGTAAAAAAAAAAAAAAATGGTGGACTTCTTTACTTTTCTTTTCCGGCACTTCTTTCCAAAGGTGTCATAAATCCATCCGCTGGGATTTGAATCTGTGAGATACTTTGGTGAATATGTACAAATGTGTGTTTTAATTCTACAAGCCTGATTTTCTATTTCCAAAGGTAATTTTGATATGACACAGAGCCATGTGGTTGTTTTGTTTTTTATGGGACATCACTGTGACACAGCTATTCTTGAGGCTCTCAAAAGTCTAAAAGCTACCTTGACTTGAAACATTCAGAAAGGTGGCTATGTGTGATATGTGTCTGTGCAGATGAAACCGACTTCTGGCCAAACCAGTGTGACCCCAGACTTAATATAAATCCGTAATGACATAATGACAGCCAGTCTTCCTCCTCCTAACCAGGAGTCATTGGCTGGCGCCTGCTCCATTAGAGTGCACACGCTGCCTTCAGTGACTGGATGGAACAGGTTGTTCCCGAATCGTGGAATCCGTCACTAGTTATCTATCAACGACGGCGGACCAAAAGCAGATGTCCTCTGTCCAATCTTAGCAGAAACCCGCAAGCGCTCCGCAGCATTCGACTGATTGGATTAGCTGTTGTGTGGACTTCTGGTGGAATGTTTTCCTCCTATCCTGCAGAGCATTGCCAGATAAATCTTTAGAGGGAGGAGGGTGGGTTCTCCACACGGGAAGACTCTCAGGGCCATGAAAAACGATCACGGATGCAGGGAATGAGGCGCCTTTTAGAAAGAATATCAACTCTCAGGTTTGTGCTAAGCTTATGTACCATTAAGCACATCTGCAACGAGCTCAAACGGGCAAATGTGAGCAAAAGGCTTTCTTTGGATGCCGAGTTCATACCCAAATTAGGGAGATATCTATAATGGATGACGGATTCTTTCACAGTGGGCCGGCTCCGACAGCGGGGCTCTTAAAGCCTACCTGGGTTAGCCGTTACATAACCGCTGCAGAGGAATGGTAACCAGGACATCTCTCGTCTCTACATCAGCCTCTGAAGGCGTCTCTCTCTTCTCTTTCCCCTCTAAATTACTGCAGCATCAACATCCCTGCTCTCACACAGGCCCACAAAGGAAAGCAGGAGCCATCTGTCGGGCAGCTTGTTGAGGTGAATTATTTGTACGTGGCTGCGGGGCGTTCTACACGCCGACCGTCCCGGACCAGGCCCCGTTAACCCGATCCACAGCGCCAAAAGTAACGGGACTAATGCCGTCTGCTTTTTTTGCAAAGGTTTTTTTTTTGCAGATACAAAATCAAAAGATTTGAGTGTATTGAAAAGCAGATTTTCCTCTCTTTGCTCCGCTTGTCTACTGTCTTACAGATAGTGAAGATTTAAGAGGGACAGAGTCCTGTCAGTGTGAATAATTCACAGACATGCAGATTCTATGAAAGGCTTTTATCTAAAATCACACAGATGCCTGGAAGTCTCTGAGGAGATTTAAGACTTTAAAAAATGAATTCAATCCCATAAACAAAAATAATCTATAAACGGTGTGGATTACAAATTATTAAGATCCACAGTGTCTCTTTGTTTTCTGCAGGGTGCCAACTGTTTCAGAGCTGAGGATGGATATGAACGTTACCTCTGACTGACAACCGCCAGGTTTAAGTTTCAGAAATCTACTGATGACGACTCTTTACATGTTTTTTGCGAACGACATTGGGACATTTTTTTCACTTTTCAAAAGAATTGGAACAAATAATCCTTGTATCTCAAAGCCTGTCCAGCAAACTCCTCTGTCTCGATCAGCGTTTAAAATGTTTGTTATTTTTTAAAGGACCCTGATATCATGCATTATCACACAGCTCCACATTTGGTCCCGTCCCTACGGTGGAGACACACTGGAACACTATCACACATCCTATGTAGGGAAACACTCCATTCAATTAAAGGATTGCAGCCGGAGAAGATGGAGCGGCTGGTGTTATTAGGACGTCTCTCAGTAGCCATGTTCCACTTTCTCCTCCTCCAGCCCAAGGCTCTGCGTTTGCTACAAGCGTCGTGTCATCGTGCCATCTCCGCTTTCTATTTACGGCCCCGGAAGATAATCACACAGAGGACCCCTGCTCGCCATCGGCTGACACCGGCGCTCCAATCATGGCCGCCGGTGGCTCATCCGAAGAGAGTAGTAAACATGGCGAGATCCGGTCAGAGGCAGAACACACCGATGCACGGCTGACACGAGTGAAGGACCGGCGAGATTTAAGCCTTCTTAAGCTGTCCACTAAGAGGCAGGGGAAGAGAGAGGTTCAGCCAAAGCATTGGTGGATGGGCAAGTGGGCAACAAGGAAGGAGAAAACCATTTCAGAGGTGTGAGATGTTAAGCAAGAGAGCAGAATGAAGACCTATAGTGGAAATATGTAACCCAAAGAGATGGGTTTTTGTTGCTCTTTTCAACCTCTCACAGTCTGAAAGCCACATTTGGATCTAATTACATGACGTTTTTTAACTACCAAGAGGTGATGATCTAGCACTATCTATCCAGGGTGATTGGAGTCCTAAACTGTCATGTAATGGTAGAACTTTCCACCCCAATTTTCGTTCTTTGAGTAGAGTAAACGAGGCCCGTTTCCACGGGTGTCCACACACAGCAGCTGGACCATGGAGCAGGTTCAAAGGTACTGTGGCCATTTAAAGGTCAACTTCACCCATTTTCTGCTTAAAATTCTATGCACTTGTACATGGGGGCAGCTGGTGTATATTCTATCAACCAGCTCAAATAAAAGATGATGGTGGGGACTGAAGCCTCTGCCAGTGGTGGCAGCAGAGGATCAAAAGTTTAAAAATAAAAACTCTGTTATGTGACGTCCATATTGCTATTGGGATTAGCATAGCTGAAGAGGTATTATGTAAAGCCTGGATGGTTTAAGAGACACTCATCAGTAGCAGTAACCCCCCCTCACCCCACCCCACCCCACCCCGGCGCAGACCTTTTTCAAGCAAGAAAAAAAAAAACACACATGCGGCACACTAAAGAGAAAGGTAGAAAATTCAAAAATATTTTCAGAAAAGGAAAAAAAAATCTGTATCTCCATTTTTATTACTTCACTACTAAAAACAAATGGACCGCTGAGTAAAATCATGGAAATCCACTTTAAAAACGCAACAAATGTTAAAAGATATTCAACTTTTTCGTGGAAAAAACATCAAAAACTCGGGCTGGAGATTTACTGGATCCTAAAAGAAAGCTGCTGGAGCCACACGCTGAGAGTAATTACTCTGATTGGTATGCCGGGCCCATAATAAAGAGCACATTGGGGAGGCAGAGTCTCTCAGAGATAATGATGAACTTGGGTCAGCAGTTTGTTAAAAGTTTGGGCATTACGACAGCACTGAGGGCAGTTTTCAGCTGATGTGCTGGCCAATGTAAAGTGCAGTTTTTTAATGAGAGATATAAACAGAGTGGAGAGTTTTGATTCTAATCCATCCGGCTCAAGGGTACTGGTCTCCGTCTCTAAACATCCTTTTTCATGAAAAACCAAATGGCTGAGATTCCATTTGTTGGATATTACTGTTTCTGATGGAAATATCATCAATACGAGACGTTTAGAGCTGTTTAGACGTTACTAGTCATCATTAAAATGAGGTTCAAAGGCTGACTAGCGAGTGGAAATAGCCTCTTCGTCTGCCTGACCGTCTGCATGTCAGTGTGAGGCAGAGTTCGGGAGGATAAGGTGCTTCTCACCGATTGAACCGCATCAACAAGAGCAACTCAGGTGGAAGTTTCTCTTCCAGAGAGAAAAAAAAGCCATTACTCTGTGCATTCCACCGATGACTGCGCGCATGACTTACCAAAGAGCTGGCGGTGGAAAATGAACTTCCCGGCTAACATGCCGCTGATAATGGCCAGTATCCAGCATATCACTTTCAGGACGTTCCACCCGAGGCCCGGGTACTTATTGAACAGGAAGGAGAAGCAGTTGCCCACCACCATCATGTGGGCCTCCGTCTGACTGTGGGAGATGGGGTCCTCGGCGAAGATGAGGAAGTTGAAGAAGGTGACCAGGTAGGCCACGATGAGGCGCGACCACGGGTGCTGGAAGTAGTAGCGGAAACAGGCATCTATTTCCATCCTGCTGGGCCCCCCCCCCGGCTGCTACGCACCTGGGAGTGACAGAGGTGAGAGACAGGGGGGGGGAGAAAGTGCTTCTTTCAGTAAGATTAAATAACACTCAGATCAGCACGCTAGATTAAAAGGAAAAACATCCCTCAGGCTGGGATTAGAGCTCGGAATGCTGCTGGGGTTTGGGGTAGATGGGGGGGGGATTACGCTCAAATCAGACAATTTGGAAGCTCCCGCCACACTGTGAAAAAAACACTATAAAACGCCAACAGCTGGGCTCACTTTGCTAATACATGTGACTGAGAAACGGGAGGCCATTTCAACCGGTGGCATGTTTGAAATCCTCTATGAGTGACAGAGAGAGGTGTCATACCTGGAAGAGGTGAATCCTGAAGCAGCAATCCCGGTGTAAAGCAGAGGCTTTCACAGACTTATCCTCTCAGCCTGACAGCTCTCTGTGACTCCCTCAAAAAGACCGGGGCAGCTTTTTTTGGCAAAACTTTCCCAGCAACGCTTTCCCGGAACGGCTCCAGCAGCAACCCATGGCAGAGCTGTGTGTCAGAGGCTTCAACTAACCCAAACAACTTCCCCCGTTGAGGCATCCTTTCCCAAAATACCTCGCAGCAGAAATTGGGGACGACGCAAGAGCTCCAGAAATAAACCGCCACAGCGGAACATCCGCTCAGATATTAGATTTCACCATTATCAGCTTTCTATTTTCTCTTTTTTTCCCCCTTCATTGCAATAAAAAGCAAGTTAATTCATTTTCGGTGTGTAGTTAAAGCCCGTCGGTGTGTTAAGCAGATGCTTTTCTGTCATCACCACAAGCATCAAGAGACAGGGGCTGTCTCACACAGACAGAGAACCTGATCCCGCACAGAGGTGGGCGCTTCATACAGGAGGCGGCACAAAAAGGATGTGGAATCCAGTCGGAAACTAAAATAGCGACTACAAAAAATAAATAAATAAACAGGACGGAATCTCTCACAGAAAGGAGACACCACTCCAGGATGTGACATATTGTATGTGGCATTTGGCATTTATTGATGGGGATGCAATAGCAGTCGGAATATGAGAATTCTCATTTCCCATC